AATATTTAATATCTAATATTTAATATTTAATATTTAATATTTAATATTTAATATTTAATATTTAATATTTAATATTTAATATTTAATATTTAATATTTAATATTTAATATTTAATATTTAATATTTAATATTTAATACTTAATACTTAATATTTAACATTTAACATTTAACATTCAACATTCAACATTCAACATTCAACATTCAACATTCAACATTCAACATTCAACATTCAACATTCAACATTCAACATTCAACATTCAACATTCAACATTCAACATTCAACATTCAACATTCAACATTCAATATCTAATATCTAATATTTAATATTTAATATTTAACATGTTATGGTATATGATCAATTAACATTTACATGTTATGGTATGGTATATGTTATGGTATGTAAATCTGTTATGGTGTACGTTATGGTATGTAATTAACATGTTATGGTATATAATCAATTAAAATTAACATGTTATGGTATATGTTATGGTATGTAGATCTGGTATGGTAAAATATCTGATGCTAAACTTATGTGTTATGTTTTAGATGGCAACGGAACAGTAAATATAATCTCACAAACAACAACTATTTATGCCGTTCGTGTTATCATGCCTACATCCGGTGTATGGAGCTTCAACATAACTGCATCGGGATCATTTACGTTTCAAGTTAGAGCACAAAGCACTTTGGCTTTTACAACATCTCTTGAAAAGGAAGAATATTCTAGTACCTTTGAGAAGATCCTTGTTCCAGTATCTGGCAACCCAATTAAAGGTAGGAAGTAACTTTTAATTTTTTAATTGTACTGTATATGTAATACTTACTTACTTACTTACTTACTTACTTACTTACTTACTTAAAAATTTATTTAACCACGCTGGCCATACACAACATATTTGTAAAAATACAATGAGTTGATTTTCAGATGGGGCGTGTGATACTTACAAACTATCTTAACTCGCATCTTAATCTCTGGTATAGTGGGCATACTGCATTTAAATTGGTAAAGCGAGGATGCCTTTTTCGCCTCAGAAGGAAAACTATTCCACAGGATTGCACCACTATACTTAAAACTTCGTTTAAGATAGTTTGTTTTAGGTTTTGGAAGTGCTAGATCAGTATCATTACTTCGAAGATTATATTCTCTATATTAAGATCTTTGATTTTTATAAATTTTTCTCTAAGACTTGGAGCGGACTGCTCATTAAGAATTTTGTACAGCCTATGACGTTTTACATCGATAAAAGTAAATTTACATTAAAATATTGATAAATTTGTCGAAAAACTTCTTTCTCAAATACTTTGCTTAATATTGGTAATATAGAATTTGGTCTGTAATTTCCCATATTACGACGACTTCCCTCCTTATAAATTGGATTTACTCGTGCATTTTTCCAGTCATCTATAAATATCCCAGTGGAAAGTGATAGATTGAATATATATGTTAGAGAGGGAGCTATAATGTTTGCAGCAATTTTTAACATTTCGGCAGAAATATTATCCAAACCTGTACTTTTTGAAGTTTGTAAATGTCTCAGGGTTAGCAGAACGTTATCAACTAAGACGTTCTCAAAACTGAAAAACAGGTAATTTAATTTATTAGTTTTAAGATACTTATGTACATTGTTACTCGAATTTGAGGTTGACTCAGCAGCCAATTTTGGCCCAATATTTATAAAATAATCATTAAACGCTTCACTTATCTCACTGCCATCAACAGTATTTCTGCCCTCGAGTTCAATTTCGGTCACATGATTAGATTTGTGAGATTTACCAACGAGAGAATTTATCAATTTCCAGGTCGCTTTGGGATCAATCTTTTCACAATCCTTAATTTTTTGTTGAAAATAATTTGATTTACTTTTCCGCATTTCAATGGTAACTTTATTTCTGGCAGCTTGATAATGCTTCCAGTGATATTGTGACCTATGTTTAACAAAAATTTTTTATGATAATCACGAGTGTACATTTGTCGTTTAATAGAAGAATTAAGCCATGGAAGTGAGGAAGATCTTACTCGCTTATGTATTAAAGGAGCATGGTGATTCAATACCTCATTGAAACTGGATTCCCATTTCTTCCAAGCAAGATTAGGGTCCTTAGTTGATTCTATTTCATGACAAGGCATATTTTGTAGGTCACTAATAAAATCTGCTTCTCCAAAATGTTTCAAATTACGCACTTCTCTTTTAATTTGTCTACGCGTAGGGATTGTGAACCCCCGCACAACATAGATTAAACTGCGATCAGACAAACCAATGAAGTATCTAAGAGGGCGGACAACTATAAATCCCTGGGATCTGGAGGGGTTCAAACGTTTCAGATGCATGAGTTTTTTTCAGCGGCGATTTGTCTCTGCATGGTATTTATATTATCGTTATAGCGATACTTCGATATCATCGCGATTAATATTATATTTCGAATTATCGTTATTGCGTTACGATGATATTATCACGATATTTTGAGTCAACATTATCGTATCAAAGTTAGAAACATGACCAACGATATACCGTAATAATAGTTATGGTGAATGACTATCTTGATATTGTTTCGCAAGTGTACACAGCGTTATTAAAAACCGAAACGTTCTTCTAATTTCTTTAATAATTAATAGAATAAAAGAATAATTAAATAAATTTTCAGAGAGTCTTCGTTTTTCCTCTTTTTACAGAGTAGGAACCTGATCAGAAAGTCGACGTCTCTTGATTTTGACTATGATTTCACCATGAACCGTTCGTAGCAATTGCGCTTATGAGAGGCATTCACCCCCCTGAAAATATTGCAAAAGGCGGACATTCAGGAGGACGAATGTGTCTCACAACCGCACTGGTTAGGAACAATGGCGACAGCATTTTGATTACGAATCATTGCGAATCATGGCGTGACAGGGGTTGTGCGCTTTTGTGGATAAATCGACTTTCTGTTTGTTTCTAATGTGTACCACTGTCGCAGTGAACAGTTTTAATCAGGTTTATAAAATGATTCAATGAAGCACGATATTAACTTCTCTACGAGTAGACTATGTACTTTTGTTGTTCATGATCACATATAAGACATATCTTATTATTATATACACAAGGTCTGCATATAACAATGAAATTGTTCCAGAAAATAGTTGCAGATTCATCTCACCGTTTCCATGTCCATCTGCCTCCCCGTTTAGAACATTTAAACATGGAACTTAGGACACAACATTTATTTAATATTAAATTTAATACTAGACGCTTTAGGAATAGTTTTATAACTTATAATTCATTGAAGATGTAACTTTAATACTAAATTTTTTTTTACCTATTTCTAAATCATACCTTAATCTTAAACGTATTTCAGCTATATGGCTGCTAGTTTTAAGAAATAAATCCTCTATCTATCTATCTACCTATCTATCTATCTACCTATCTATCTATCTATCTATCTATCTATCTATCTATCTATCTATCTATCTATCTATCTATCTATCTATCTATCTATCTATCTATCTATCTATCTATCTATCTATCTATCTATCTATCTATCTATCTTCCAGAGTTCGTAATAAACCTAGTCCTTGGCTTAATTCAGAACTCAAATATTTAATGATAAATAGAGATAAACTGAAGAAAAAGGCTATTTCATCCAATAATTCTGAATCTTTGTCTGCTTATAAGCAGCAAAGAAATTTTGTAAATAATAAGATCAAAAAAGCGAAAAAGGCATATTTTCAAGACGAACTCAACAGAAATGTAAATAATGTTAAAGAAACATGGAAAATTTTAAATAATGGTTGGGAAAGAAATCGGATAACATCGAAATAAACACGCTGTCATCTGACTCAGGAGAAATCTTAACCGAGTCATTTGACATTGCAAATTCGCTTAATAAACATTTCGTTGGAATTGGTCCGAAATTGGCCTCCAATGTTCCCCTTTTAGGCAAGGTTGCAACAGCTAAGGATTACATGACGCAGGTTGAATCATCATTTGAATTTCAAAAGATAGATTCTAAAGACGTCTTTAAATTAACAAACAAATTAAATTTGCGTAAAGCTTCGGGCTGTGATAAAATATCAAATAGATTATTAAAAATATCTGGTCCTTATATTTATGAAGCTTTAACAAATTTGTTCAATCTTTCTCTTACAACAAATAAATTTCCGACAAGGTGGAATATTGCAAAAGTCTTCCCATTACATAAAACAGAGGAAAGGGATAATGCAAATAATTATAGGCCTATTTCGGTGTTATCTTCAATTGCACGTCTTTTTGAGCGCCTTGTGTATAACCAAATGTATGCTTATTTATCTAAACATAGACTAATCAATACCCGTCAATCTGGATTCCGTTCACTTCACTCTACCATGACAGCCTTACTGGATATGACAAATCAATGGTGTTTTAATATTGATAAAGGGATGTTAAACGGTGTGATTTTTCTTGATCTAAAGAAGGCTTTTGACACCATTGATCATGAAATTTTGCAAATGAAACTTGCATGTTATGGTTTGAAAGAGTGTAGTTTGGTATGGGTTGAATCCTACTTGACAAATAGGGTACAAGTTTGTCATGTAAATGGCATATATTCAAATGAAGAAACCATTTCCTGCGGGGTTCCACAAGGTTCCATTTTGGGTCCGGTCTTATTTTTGCTTTATATAAATGACCTACCCAGTTGTTTGGAACATGGATCGAATTGCCAGGCTATTTGCTGACGATACAAATATCACTTCCACAGGTTGCAATTTGGAATCGGTCGAAAATAAAATGCAGATTGAGCTTAATAAAATATTCAAGTGGCTTTGTGCAAACAAGTTGACACTGAATATTTTAAAAACCGATTTCATGGTTATTGCTTCTCGACAAAAGCTAGCGGCCTTGGGAGACTCAATAACATTGTCAGTAAACGGTGTTTCATTAAGCCAAGTTCGTTCGGTGAAATCCTTAGGAGTAAACATAGACGAAATCTTAACTTGGGAAAACCATGTGGAGAGTATTCGCTTAAAAGTATCCCGTAATATTGCTACTTTGAGGCGATTAAAGCCCATTTTAACACAAAAAAACCTAGTATCACTCTATCGGGCGATAATTGAACCATATTTCATTTATTGCTCCGTAGTTTGGGACAGCCTTGGTCAAACATTAGACAAGTCTCTACAAATTTTACAAAATAGGGCTGCCCGTGTGATAACTGGGGCACATTTCTCAACATCATCCTCAAAACTCTTAAAAGAACTTGGCTGGATGAATATTCAGGAAATGAGGTATAAACAAAAGGCTATGATGATGTATAGAATAGTAAATGGTAATGCACCATCTTATTTAATAGACATATTTAAACATTGTCATGCTTTGGATATATATAATCTCAGAAGGTCTAAAATAACCTTCGAACTTCCAAAAAATCGAACACTGTATTACAATTCAAGTTTTGCCTTCACTGGTGCTAAATTATGGAATTCTCTTCCGGATGAGATAAAAGACGCACCATCACTTAAAATATTTGTAAAAATGTTAGACTCGACTATATTCTGTGCCAACTAGAATATGTTTTCTGTATATAGTTTTATATTGAAATATTAAGATACACGGCTTTTAGGAAGAACAAATGTAAATATGTCATATCTACAATTGATAAAACCACCGTGGTTAAATAAAAATTTCAATCAATCAATCAATCAATCAATCTATCTATCTATCTATCTATCTATCTATCTATCTATCTATCTATCTATCTATCTATCTATCTATCTATCTATCTATCTATCTATCTATCTATCTATCTATCTATCTATCTATCTATCTATCTATCTATCTATCAATCAATCAATCAATCTATCTATCTATCTATCTATCTATCTATCTATCTATCTATCTATCTATCTATCTATCTATCTACCTACCTACCCCCCTACCCACCTACCCACCTACCCACCTACCCACCCACCCACCCACCTACCCACCCAAAAAGTCGACACCACAGGACAGAACTTTCTACAAGTCAGATCACCCCTCAACTCGGCCTGAGTTAGTCAAATCGCCACCCGAATCAGTGGTCGATAGCAAGCAAGGGATTGCGTCCCTTTCTGAGAAATGCAATGACACGGAGCCATCTTCACCCGAGTTTAAACCAAGCGTTGACAAAACTAAACCTGATTTAACAACTACATTACTCGAAATGAATCAGCAATTGGTTAGTGCTATGAAGCAGGGAACCGAAACAACCACTGTTATGAAAGCCATGTTACAGCGGCAAGGGATTCCGAAACCCCAGCCAATGAAATTTAGAGGTGACCCTGCTCAGTTTCATGTTGTTAAGAAGCGGGTGGAGGTTTGGTTAAACGAAAGCTAGCGAGTTTGATGAAAGAGAAAAAATAACTCGTCTTCTCAGTTTCGTAGAAGGTGATGCTAGAGACGCAATTGAACATTGTGAACTGAAATCAAATGGGCTTAGTCAAGCCATGAAAATATTAGAATCTCGGTATGGTCATCCTTCTAGCGTAGTCAAGGCATCCCTAAAACGAGTCACGATGGGTCCTCGCATTGAAAGGGGAGACAACAACTCTCTCGCTCAGCTCAGAAATAATTTACGTTCCTATTTAGAAGTCTTAAAGGACAATGAGAATTACAAACACGAAATTAATGCATCATCTAACGTTGAGAGAGTTGTTGATCGTTTGCCAATGCACATGCAGATAGAGTGGGTAAAGAAAGTTCCAAAAATTCGTGATGAGACCAAATTGAACCCCACATTACGGCATGTTCTAGAGCTAGTAGAAAGACAACTCAGAATCATGAACGATCCCCAGTATGGACACATTTTGACTACAAAGAGGAAACCAATTGACCCCAAGAACAAGCTACCGAAACCACCACCTAAACCACCACTTCAGAATCAGATCTCGACGTTGACAACAAACCTCGAAAACTCCGGCCTTTGTCCGTGTTGCAAGGGTAAACATTCACTCACAAACTGTGAATTCTTTGTTAAGAAAACACCTGAAGAGCGATGGGAAATCGTAAAGAATTTAAAGCTTTGCCATTTATGCTTAGCGTCGGGACACATGAAGGCCCAGTGTATGTCAACCACCATTTGTAAATGTAAAGCTACCTACAAGCATCACCCACTCCTTCATCGAAGAATTCCGCCACCAAAGGATAACACTAAATTCCAGTCTAATGATCGTGGATCCTCCAATACCACTCAAAGACAACCAGAGAAAGACAATGAGAAACCAGAAAGGGCAGCTGGATCTGAACCACCCAAATCCAAATTTGGAAAGGACAGTCAACAAGATTCGATGGCATCTTATACGACAATGACGCAAGGAAAGGAAAATCACGTACTTTTACACGTTGTACCTGTTAAAGTGTTAACGAAGGATGGAAACTCAGTCACGACATATGGACTCCTTGACAATGCAAGCCGCGGAACTATTGATGATGCGAAATTGCCAGAGAAACTGAACGTGAAAGGAACTAAACAGTCAATCGCCGTTACAACAGTGCTTGGAACACAGGAATGCGAATTTGAATCAGTGTCCCTTTTGCTTCAGGCTGCAGAAGCCGCAGATTCTGAACCAATATTGGAAGTCAGCGAAGGACTAGTGAAGGAGCTTGATATGAATGAAAGAATTCTCCCAAATGAGATTGACTGTCAAGGATATATATGAGCATTTGGCTGATATAACTATGCCTGAAGTCGAACTTAAGCGTGTTTCTATAATCATCGGAACATT